AAGAAAAAAAGAGATTTTGTATGATATATTAGAGTTGGTACTTGGATTTATGCCTTCATTAAATTTGTAATCACAACAGGATTTTGAGTAAAAATTTGGTTGTTTCCACCTGTAGCATGTATATAGTTGACTCTTGAACAATACGGGAATTAGGCTCACTGACCCCAGTGCAGTCAAAAACCTGCATATAACTATGACTCCCCCCAAACTACTTAACTATCACTTAAGTATGTTGTGCTTTCCCCAGGTTGCACTTTCCCCAGGTCAAGGCCACTGCACACTGCACACCTGAGCCCCGTGGGGGGAGGGGCGCCTTGTTGTTACTTTATTTAACTACTTAACTAACTACTAGTAACCTACTAATAGGTATGTCATCATGACATACCAATATATTTATTGGTAAAATTTCCAATATATTTATTGAAGAAAGTTCGCATATAAGTGGACCAGTGCAATTCAAACCAGCATTGTTGAAGAGTTTACTGTACTTTATTTGCCTTTTGCTTATTTTCCTATTTTTTAAAAATTACATACCTGGCTTTTTCTCTTTCTCTCATTACTATTACATTCATCTATTTTGAAATTGGCTCTAACATACATAGAGTATGACAAATGTAAGCGTGGTAAGTATGTATATACCTGTGTAACCCCCATTCAGTTAAAGATAGACATTTTAGTAGTCCCAAAATTTCCCTATAGTTGTTTTCAATCAAAATATCACCCCAGAAGTAACCACTATTCTTATGTCTATCATGGAACCACATAGTATGTACCTTTTAAGTCTGGCTTGGACATAACGTGGTGAAATATTCCTTATTATACGTAGCGGCTCCTTATTTATCCATCATAGTGTTGATAGACATTTGAATTGTTTCCAGTTTCTGTCTACTGTGAATAGTGTTTCTATGTGCATTCCTGTACATATATGACAGTCCTTCAAAAAGTTCATGGAAAGAGTCATATTATCTTTGTTTTTCTTCTTTTTATTAAAGCATAATTTATTATACATATTTGTGTGGTACAGAGTGGAATATCTGTACCTGAGTACAATGTGTGATGATCAAATCAGGATAATGAGAATGTTCATCATTATAGAATGTAATCATTCTTTGTGTCCATTTACCAATTTCTCACTAATTCCTCTCTCCCTCCTCCGTTCCCACATCAACTAACCACAGTTCTGTTTTCTCTTTCTGAAAGTTCAATGTATTATTGTGATTCTTTCTCTTTTCTTTCTTTCTTTCTTTTTTTCTTTCTTTTCTTCCTTCTTTCCTTCTTCCTTTTTCTTTCTTTTTCTTAATTCTATTAATTCTACTTTCCCATGAACTTTTTGAAGTACCCTCACATTTTGATGGAAATATACTGATTTCTTTTGATCTATAACTATGATTGCTTTAGTAGATAAGGCCAGATTGTATCCAACGTGGTTTTCTCAAGTTATAATTTCACCGACAGTGATGGAGATCCCATCCTCAACAAAACATGGTATTGTCAGTATTCATCAGTTTTAGATGCGGTATCTCCTGATAGTGCTAATTTGTATTTTCTTGGTCACTAAGGATGCTGAGCCTTTTAATATGCTTATTGGTCATACACATATATATACACTCACACACACAATCTTATAAGAAGAACCTATTCAATGCTTAACCAATTTTTAATTGGGTATTTATTTGTAGTTGTTTAGATATTTCCAATATATAATCTTCAGACACGTGAATTTCAAATATTTTCTCTCAACTTGCCTTTTTAGTGTCTTAGTGGTGCTTAGGTTGATAAAAAGGAGTTCTTGAATTTAATAACATCTATCATTGTTTCATTTTCTAATTGGTGCTTTCTGTATCCTGATTAAGAAACCTTTGCCAACCCCATTATAAATATATTCTCCTGTGTTTTCTTCTATTACATCTAATGTTTTATCTTCTACATATAGATCTTTGAGTCCTCTTGAATCAATTTTTCTGTATGATACCATATGAGGTAATACGTTATAACAAGTTGTGCTATTTTTCAGTGTTGTGCCCAAATCAGTCTTCTATGGTCTCAGATATTAAATGGCTTGCTGTAGTGTAAAGTCATAGTTTTATCTGTCCAACAGCCTTAGCTTCTTCTAGAAGCAACAATCTCCTTCTTTTGGAAACTACAATCATCCACTACCTGCCCCCCATATAATTCCATTAAGATTTGCAATGTTATTATATTTTCTTATTCCTGAGCTCTAAGTCAAAGGTCACCAAATCTGGTTTAGGGTCCTCCAAATCCATGCTGTTCTTTCACAGCGCTCAAACTCCAAATGGTCCAAAGGGTGGCACTTTTTCCAAATTGAAACTATCAGTTCTGTTTTCAAGCTGTTTGAACCTGGTCCATAAAGAGAAGTAGTCATGCTATTTTGACGAAAGAATTCATAAGGTTTAAAATCCATGAAACGTCAATAATCATGCAACATGCTATGTAGAGAAAGTCGGGCTGCACTGAGAAAAACTAAAGCTTGTCTAAGGAGTAACAGCCATGAGACACCTGGTGGTGTTCAGTCTCCTGGCTCGAGCTGTTTCTGAGATCCAGCACAAACTTGCTTTTCTATATCTAAACTGTCTCACATTTTCCAGAATTAATGAGCTGATGACCTTTTATCTAAATTTGTCTGAGCCAGCTTTTGATTCTTTCAGCCAAGGAAAGTCTCAACTACTAAGTTTGGGCATCATTCTAGGTGGTCAGTTTTTAAGAAAGAAACTTGCTGAATTTAGCATTCTAATTCTTGAGTTCTTTAGCAGGCACCCAGCCTCAGCCTGCTCCCTAAGCCGTGTGATACAAAACAAAAACAAACAAACAAACAAAAAAAACCCTGTATTTTATAAGTATAACAGGATTGTACATCTCAAAGAATCAAATGGAAATTGAAGAGTATCTGAAAAATATGTATCAAAAAATAAGATAAAGACTAGAGGTTTAGGGGAAAGATTCTTTGAATATATATATATTCTTTGAATATATATATATATATATGATGAATGCATACATAAGAGAGTACTTCATAAAGTTTGTGGAAAAGTAGAATAAAAGATAATATGAATCTTTCCATGAAATTTTCAAAAACCCCTCATATATATTTGTGGATTCAAATAGTTTATGGTATGATT